ATTCACTCTTCAGCATTCACATGTCATTTCACTTTCGCTTCGTATGCGTATTAGTTTTGCGATCGGCGTGGTGCAATTATAAATATCATCAACGCTTCGTATACGTCTTCTGAATTGTATACACCATTGGATGGTTCTATTCAGTAACGATTATCAGGGCGAGGGAGTATTGAAACGATGAATCGACGATCAATGGATGATTGCCAAACCAGGAAGAAACGGTTATCCAGTGTTTCCAGGTTATCAATAGTGGATTAACACATTGATCGATTCATGATTTCAATAAGACTTAACAATCTTCACAACCCTTAAACTGATAATGAGAAAAAAGCCTATTTTATAATTGTATATTTCACATTTTATTGTATAAATTGGTTGAAATTAAAAATTAACCAACTCAATAATTCAAAGATAGAAGAATATTCAATGTGAGACCTTAAAAACAACTAGTTTCGATTCCTGTTATTATCGTGAATCAACAATGATGAGATGTATTGTGCGATAAAATGAAAACAAATTTCCACTGCTATTTGATTGTTAAGTTTAACTCCAACTATGATGATGTATACAATCAAAAGTTTACATGAGCGTTTGAATAATAATTAATTTCGTTGTGTTGGATACTACTCACAAAGTGGCATATAAGTAGTATGGAGTATAGCACCGCCTAGAACTCGCTACCAGAGAGAAGAGTGTCAACGGATCAAACTACATCATACTATTAATGTCCATGAGGAGACTTCGATTCATTAGTTTTCGTTTCAAATTCCAACGTGTTATTCACTAAACTAATGAATTGTATGTTCACGTAAATCAAGGAAAATCATTATTGATATTTCAAAAAGTTCCTGTTTTACTCTGACAGTACTTTCAATTTAATTTCATGAGTTATTTTTATTAAATTTAAGTGAAGCACTTCAAAGTTAGATGACACACTTATCGCGGTTTTCTCTTTTCAAAAAACGAAATAAAAACCATCCTACAATTGGTCATTTTTATGGAAATCGTCATACAATCCAATCAGACAGCTAGAACGTAGAATATCGTACGTACATATATCATTCCAAGTCGTCATGTCCCATTAGCATAGAGAGATCGATTTTTCAATTCAAACCACATAGCGGTAGAAGTAGTGGCAGTGTTTTAGCGGTAATCAAAAAGATTCGGAATCGAAGGTATGATTCAAGAAGTATAATCCAGTAAAATAAATTTAAAAAGAGAGAAAAACGGTCATGAGGAATTCAGAACAATAGAATTCGAGAGAAGACTAAAAATAGATACATCTGCAAACTGATTTGAGCCATGTCATTCAAGGTCTCTAACCATCTCTTACTATTGCCTCGCGGACCCATACAATTCAATAATTCTATTGAAATGAAGATCGTGAGACTGAAGGCCATATGTTCGAGCGCATATGGTAGGACGGGTGGGTTTGTAGATAGTGATTGTTGTTGAAGTGTAATCACACTAAGACTAAACGACTGCTCAGTATTTCAAGGTAACCCATAGTTGCTTAACTCTGATCGATTGATGGTTTAATTGGAATGCAACAATTTACACAATCCTATATTTATAATCCGTAATTGATTTTTGTTTAATCACAATTTCTAAAAATTGTATTTAAGTGTAAAAGTTATTCATATTCGTATAATAAACAAACAATCATGTAGGTTGTGCGTGTGTGAGGTCTAATGACGAATAATTATTTGTTACACAGTTTCCAGTTTAAAAATTGAAGAAATATCCTTAAATTTTAAAAATGTCGATCAATTTAAAGATGTGATTAGATTGATAGTTTCCATATTTCAAAACAAAATTATTTTTATTACAAATTCAGGATGTTGATTAACCATTGCAATAGTTTTATTGTTAGTCAAACAGATTGGAAAAATATATGTGGTGCTACGGGTATGCTGGTAGGTATCACTTCTTGGATGCCCATATAGTGAAATGGTATTTCTTGAAGAATCTGACAAGGAAGTTAGATTGGTGTTAGTCTTAGTGACCTGGGAGCGTGACCATAGAGCCCAAGAGACAACTGTTTGAGGTCGATCACGGATGAACTTTTTATGCAAACTGTTAGCTCTGCACTTAAGTGGCCTTACCACCGGAAACGAAACTCCGTGGGACAAGGTGAAGTTTGACATATTTAGGACAAATCTTTTCTAAAGCTGATACGCTCATCAACTGATATGCTTGAAACTATTACGACTTCACCTTATTCGGTAAACGAGAGCTAAGATAATTGATCCAGTGACTGTCTGTCTGTCTGACGGTAGGCTACTCTAATCCGAGCGTCCCAAGGCCTCACTAAGTAGAGGAAGAAGTCTTGACAAGACGTAGAAAGTGTATTTCACAAGCACCAAGAAAATATGAGGTTGACAAGAACACAAATCCAGTTTACTTATACATCATAGAAACGTCATTGGGAGATCCACAAAAATAACACATCAACCAATAATAGTCAAGGGTTTTCCGGGTGGGAAATGTAATCTCAAGGTCAACTAACAAGCCCATGCGCGAAAGCACAAAGTCCAAAATTAAGACTTCTATCAAGTGAGTTCTGGGGATCTAATGTTTCCAACAAAACCCTTCTTTGGTTGTGAGAAGGTAGCATCGCTGTAGATGCTGATTGTCCGAGGAAACCACTTTACCGCAGTCACAAACCTATACAGTTAGCTGTACGATTTCTTCTGCAGACCTTAAGTTGCTGCTTTTAGTCTCACCGTTCACCAATCGACCTGTTCAGCATGGTAGGACCTAAAGGAACATATGCTCCAGCCAATATAGCTCGGTTGGGTCATCACAATAGACAAGCCCGACCGCCAAGACAAGGTAGCAGCTACGGTCGGGCTACACAAATTGACTGAACAGATCATAGTTATGCTAAAAAGCTAGATTTTAATTCATTGGAAAATGAGCGACGAACAGAATCGATAGAACACAGAAGGGAAGATCAGAGAATGAGATTCATCAGAGAATCGATGAAAACTATGAAGTACTGAACAGCTATATCACTCTAGTACAAAACTCGGCAACTGGCAGCCACGATCGCTATTGCTTTACCTATACAGACTATTGATTTTGGTTACCACTAAATTGTATCAATGTGTAAACCATTCGACCATCTTTCAATGAGTTTAGTCGGCAACACCTTCACATATCCGATTGTTTATGACACCCTATCAAGTTAAAATTTAGTGCATGAATAGGCTTACTTTCCTTACTCAGTGTTATGTTTTACATATAAAATCGTGTAAAACTTTAAGCCAATTATTTGATCTAGTAAGTACCTATTACCTCATGAAATTGAATCAGTGGATATTGTAGGTAAGTTGTAGTCCAAATCAACGCTGACTAATTTATGTGGAGTTGGCTGCGTTATTTTCCTCATATTGGGCTAACCAACTTTGTGGCGATCGGTATTCGATATATTCTTAGACTTTGTATTCGTCTTCTGATTTATAAACCATTGGGCGTTGTCTAGTAACGGTTATCACGACAAGCATTATATGAAGTCTAAGAATCTATTGAATACCGACCACTATAATATCATTTACAGAAATAAATTGTTTGTTTTCATGTCAACCAATGAAATTCATAATTTCCAACAAAAATCAATAGTCTATTGCATAATAATGATATTCAATTTATAATATAAAATGGTCAGCATAAACATTTCAATTGTATTTTGATAGTTTGAGTTATATCATTAACCATTCAGTATGATAGTAATCGATAAATAATCATTACGAAGAAAAATTTCAACATAATGAAACTGATGTCGATCTAAAGATGCGGACTAGCAAAGCGAGGGCAGTCTTTTTAGATTTGAACAACATCTGCAACTCAAAACAACTATTGACAAACACTGAAGTCACAATTTTCGATAGGAACATCAAAACAGTTCTATTGTATGAAGCGGGAACTTGGAGAACCATAAAAGCCATCATCCGGAAGATACAAGTGTTTATCAGCAGTTGTTTATGCAAAAATACTGAGGATCCGTTTTGTCAGATTGTAGATGAGGAATAAATTAGTGAAATACGCTGGAAGTGAATAGGACACACATTACGGGAATCAAGTCATTGCGTCACAAGGCAGGCTGTAACTTGGGATCCTCGAGGCCAAGGAAATAGAGGTTGGCCATAAGACACATACTGAGCCGAGAACTGGAAACAGATATACAAAGAATGAATAGCAATCGGGAACACCTGGTAAGGAGCGCCTGTGAGAGAGTATGCTGGATATGCTGTTCGGTGGCCTATGTTTGATTATGGGTAACAGGTGTAGTTGAGTAAGTGCAAAGAAAATTTACATACAGTAGTGGTATTTTCACATCAAATACGTTTTTTTTATACAGAGAAACATGCCAGATTATATCTCGCAACATTGTATAGTTCAATGGTTAGGATATAATGTCCTGTTTGAGCAAGGTTAGTAGTAATAATATTTGTTGTCCGCTAATGCATTTATAATCAGTCTAAATCCCCTATTCATTAGATTACCATATAAAATCTAACCGATTACTTCAAGTTCTCTTGAATTTAATTTCTTTCTGATGAATGTAAACCGAATCCAAGCATTTTGTTGATTGTTGGCAAAAGATGAAACAGAATACAATAAGAGACCGAAATAATCTCAGGTGATATGTTTTTTCACTTCACTGTGGGATAAAAAAATATTTCATGTTTGCTGAATAATCAATCCAACAAACCTCTAGAATCCTGATTCCACAAGAAGACAAGACAAGAATACACCTGTCCCATCACGAGCTACGCCAAGTTGAAGTCTCTAATGATAATCACCCAAAACCTCAACCAGGTAGTCTATACCCAATGAGAAAAGCTCCAACCAGTGGTCAACACTTTCACAGACTGTTCTTGAATGCTAATAAATGTCGTACACCTACCTTATCAGTATATCGGTTTAATTATTCCATACTACAAACCGAGTTTTTTTTTCGGGAAAAAAAGAACCACAGACATGTTGTTACTTACCAGTTATTTCTTGATTATGATTAGCAGACCACATTGGTGTTTGTGAATCACTAATACTATGTGTAAATAATCCACTAGTTCCACAAAACAATTGTTCTTGTGTTGTAATCAATATACGCAATGCTTGTTTCGATGTAGTATACAATTTTGGAAATGTAATATTTGTTTGGTCAACATGTTGTTGTGTACCAGTGATATATTTCGCAACACCATCATCATCATCATCATCATAATCAACATCAACATTATGATCAGGAATAGAATGTTGAAATGTTTCACCATGTAAACGTCTTCTAGTCGATAAAATATTCGATTCACGTTCAGCTGTTGTCCATATGTAACAGCCACGTTCAATATTATCTGTATGCTCTTAGACATAAAATTAACAAGTTATTCATGATAATAATAATAATAATAATTTTGATAAAACAAATCTATTCATCAAACCATTATCATCATAATAATCGTTCAATATTCAATTATTGATTTTGTTCTCATTATTTCATAAAGTTGATGTTATTTTTTTTTTCTCAAAGATTTTTGATTTCATGTAATATTTCCAAGAAGATTATATTTAATGATTGATTATTGAATTATTCCCCGGGTAATAGAAAATATGATTTATGAAAAAAATACAATACACTGTTATACATGTTGCGTACAATCCAATTTTTTTCATAACAAATGAGCTTATAAAAATGAATGCCAAATCTCGATACTCATCATCACATATGATGTATCTCTACATATATGTAATTAAATACAATAAGCGAACGAACGAACGAACGGACGAAGGCAACTTGAACAAGGTTTATATTGATTGATCAGTTTGAATATGGTAATCGATTAGTTAGGTAAGTAACAATTTGCTTCCTTTAATTAACAGCAAACAACAAACATTCAACGTAGCCCATCATCATCATCTCCTTCCTCTATCAGTGAGTGAGTGAGTGAGTGAGTGAGTGATTGGTTGGTTAGTTGGTTGAACGGACATTTTATGATCATTGGCAAAAATTGAGGACAGACACACATACATGCACAGACACCACACATTAGGATGTGGATATTTGAGAAGAGTGAGTTGACTTTGTCAGTTTGTGATTGGTTAAAACATGTTCAGTTGTATGCCTGTATATGTAATGCTTACATAAGCACATGCAAAGGGAGGCACACATGTAATTCACAGTCCGTAAAATGGAGAGGAACACTTATGCCAAGAAATATGACAAAACGGTCTGATCCAGATTTCCCGTTAGGAAAAATATACAGCACTGGGCAATGGCATTGACATGATTTCAAAATTTTTTTTTCATTTTGTGATGAGGTAATTTGATGATCATTACAATTATTCAATCAATTTTGAACAAAATGGGTTTTATGTCATAAAATGATTTTGTAATCAGATCACAGTAATTGTTTGACCATTAGTTGTTATCTAATGTCATATTCTCTCTCTCTCTCTCTCTGTGCATATATGTGTGTGTGAATGAACGGGGACAATCATTCCAGTGTACTTTCAATAAAAACAAACTTTATTGGTTTGCCTCAGGGAAGCTTAAAATGACCTTAGGGAGGTGAGACTAATTTTTCATGACTGCAGGTAATATAAATAAATAAGTTAATCACATTGAAATCATGATTGGATCGTTGTTACACTATCTTTGGAAGCCTGGAAGCATCGTGTGGCGGTTTCGTCCTGGTATGGGAGTGATCAATGGCGGCGCGCATCCACGAGTCCTGCAACTCGTAGGATTCGAATCCAGGACCTTCGATTTTGGGCGCGAAAAGCTTAACATCCAGATCAGAATAACCTATCACTGCAGTTTAAATCACCAACTGATCTTAACTAGACCATCCTAGAAAACCAACAAGCACTGAGCGGTCGTTTCGTCCTAGTATGCTACTCCTCAACTGTACAACTCATCGGCGACTGCGCCATCAGGGATGGAATGCATGAACTGCACTTTAACGCGGGTCAACACTTAATCTCACAACTACTGAACTTCTGGCATCTAACTGTGTCAATGTCCAAGAAAACAGCGAAATGATTATTCGTGAAATTTTGAAAGCAAATATAAAAATCTTACCTGTAATCAGTTCACTATGTGATGTGAAATATAATTCCACACAACCAGTGGATGGAAAAATTTTTTCTGCAATAAAAAAGATGACAAATTTTCATGAACTTCTAAAACAAATGATTTCAACGACATACTAAAAAATATATGCAGTAGTCGACTTTCAAAACTGATATGAAAGACAAAAAGTCAGTTATTTCGACTTGTCTAAAACTTCTGGACTAACCAATCAGATTTAAGATGTAGACTTTTGCGTTTTTGTTTGATATTTATCCATCCATGTGAGTAAATGACAGTTTCAAACTATAGCTCATGTCAGTTTGTGATGAAAACCTTAAATCTAATGTCTAACCTTAATTTATAATATTGATTCCTCACACAATTTTACAATCCTATTAAGATACTAGTAAGAGATCAAAAACTGCGCTTGGACCCATTCTAAGGTTACTTCCACTCCCAGGCGTGGATAATGTTAAATAGTTGAATGTAACTGCATGGAAACTTTAGTCCTGGTTATAGTGTTTGTTAGCTGACAGTCCTCACCAACATTCGCTACAAATAATTCCTTCAAGATTGAACAAACGCCTAGCACTAAACTTATCAGCTGCCTACAATCTACATAAACAAAATTATTGTCGATTTCTCAAACTTATGATGCTAAAATTTGAATTTTTAATAAACAATGTATCGGTTTATATTCTATCTTTTAAGATTACTCAGTTAAAAGTTATTTTGTCTGATATAATTGTCTGTTAATGATTGACCTTAGTTAAACAACTACTAATAACAACGGTATAGTTAACGTTTGTTTACTGCCCAGATCAATAGTAAAATCATCGAGGTTGAAACCAGTGAATGCCAGGTATCATGACAAATGTTTTCCGTTCAGATCATTGAGTCCGTATTCGGACCTAGTCAATTTGCGACATGCACTGTAGATATGGTTGAATTCCACGAGCCATATTTCCAGAACTTCGGGAATTACTTATTGAAACCGATCAGTCGTCAGCAAACAGTTTTTATTAGTACCACTAAAGAACTGGAAGTTGATAATGTAATATCATGAATCGAGGGAAGATTGAAATATATACTATTGGATGCTGGATAAATAGTCTGAATGATAAAATCTCCATGTAACACTTCAATTTTTCGATTGAACTACCAGTCGACTAATCGATGCATATTAGTCAAGAGTCCTGCACTGGTAAGAAACAGATGTCCAATGTTTTCTGATATTCCATGGTTATTCAACTAATGCTATTCCTCATGTGATGGATGCTGTTCATAAATTGGCAGTTGAGTGTCATCAAGAACTTACTACTAGGTGGGCAGGGTCACGAGATCATAAGGCATAAAATGATCAGAAGAGGAGTGAGAAAACAGTGACTGTAATTTGCTCGGATTGTAAATTTTATAACTGAAGACTATGTGCACATATTTTGTGAACAAATTGTGTCTCCCCTTTCTACAAAAATGTTTATACTTCATCTGGTATTTCCTTCTTCGTATGTTGCGTTGGATGAAAACGATGAAGTTTTCATTGTTAGACCGTCATTATAAATCTGGTAGCAACGGATGGCCATTTCATCCTAGTTTAGGGCTCTTCCGCAGTGAATGATCGATTCATGATTTCATTTCCATAACACTATGATGAAAAATCGTAAAATGTGCTCACTGATGACTAGTTTCGTGAAGAAGTTCTTGGAGTTCTAGTGAGCAGTCTCGGACAATGTAGTTCAACCCTGTTGGGTGTGAGGTATTAATCCGCTGAAGTTGCGCGATACCTTGTATTGATCAGTACTTAGACAACAACACTGTTGGATACCGACTCAGTGATCTAGTGGTTAGGCGTTCGCGCACGAAACCGAGGGTCTTGGATTCGATTCCCACAAGCGAAGGTCGTGGTGGATGTTTAGAAACTAGGGCGAAACAGCTATCCGTTGCTTCCAGGTTTCTCGTTCTGGTCTATCAATGACTGATTCATGCGTTCAGTAGGAAACAATGAAGTTTAACAAATTCCCAATTTCAATCTATTTAATTACGCCGCCACTTAATTGAACAGTTTCATGAGAAATTATTGACTTTTGATAATTCTCAGAAAGTAGTGTAAATTTTGTTTAAAAAAAAAGTAACATTTTTTTTCTAGAATGATTTATCAACGTAGTCATTTCCAATTAATTGTCTGTTAAATTTTTTTTTATTAATAAAAGGAATAATGAGTTTTTAATGAAAATTGTGAATTTTTGATAATGAGAAAATTCTTTCTGTTAAATCATGTGTTTTTGGGAATGAAAAAAAAAAACTGAACACAACAGACATTCAAAGTGTTATCATATAAGTTGTTGTTTTTTTTTAAAGGTTAATTTTCTTGAAACAATCTAATGTTCTAGTGTGAATTATTGTTGTTTTGCTGTTATGGCGTTTTTTTTTTGAACGAGTTAGTTTTCTAACCCTTCTGCTTTATTTGGGCTCGAGATCGGTAGTGGTCCCAAGGGGGCGGGTTCCAGGTGGAGTTCGGGAGAGCTGAAACATTCGTTTAAAGTGAAGACTGGTGTCAGGCAAGGTTGCTTACTCTCAACCTTTCTCTTTCTCCTAATGATTGACTGGATTATGAACACTGAACAACTGGGATGCAGTTGGACGACTTGAACTAAGTAGATGATCTACCTTTTCTCATACTAAAACAACAAATGTAGGAGAAGAAGGCCAGAGTAACAGCAGGCTCAGCAGCAATAGATCTCAAGCAAGATTTTACGATATATAGCACAACATGCATCAACCAATTTACACTTGATGGAGAAGCTTTGTAAGATGTAATAACTTTCACATATCTGGGCAGCATCATTGATGAGCAGGTGGATCTGATACAGATGTAAAGGCATGGATCAGCAAAGCAAGGGCAGTATTTCTGCAATTGAACAACATCTACAACTCAAAACGACTATCAATCAATATCAAAGTCAGAATTTTCAGTACATATGTCAAGACAGTTGTACTGTATGGGGTGAAAAGTTGGAAAGCTATCAAAGCTATCATCCAGAAGATACAGTTTTTTATCAACAGTTGTTTACACAAAATACTTCAGATCCATTGGCCAGACATGATCAGCAACAACTGACTGTGGGGAGGAAAACAAACCAGATTCCAGTGGAGGAATAAATAAGGAAGAAGTGATGGAAGTGGATAGGACACACTGAAAAAAGCGCCGAACTGCGTCACAAAACAGTCCCTCACTTGGAACCTTCAGAGTCAAGGGAAAAGAGGCAGGCCAAGGAACACATTAATTCGAGAAATGCAGACAGACATGAGGAGAATGAACAGAAACTGGACAGAACTGGAAATGGAGGTAGTGGACAGAGTAGGTTGAAGAATGCGAGTCAGCGGCAGGGCGTCACCCGGAATTTACTGAGGCAGAGAAGAATGTCCAATCGGGAGGTATGACTCAACCAAAATGTTTCGAAGACCAATGGAAATGTGAAAGAAAACAGCCAATAATCTTTTTGTTTTTTCAAATAGAATTCTGATAATGAGTTGTATACATTTTTTAAGTAAGCTGTATCTTCTAGTTTTGGCGTTTTTGTTCATCACACTAGTGCAACAGTGGGCATCAGTCAATTTGTTCACACTTTCCATGATTAATAATCTATTTCTAGGTAATTTATACTGACGGATTTTATGTGATGGAAATAGTACCGCAAAACTGAAGTGATAAATGTTCACTATAGGCGCTAAAATCAGGGGTTTTCTGTTAATGAGCAGTTTAATAGTAGGAGTAGGAGATTCTTGATAACAACCAATGAAACACATTAATCTCAAGGTCTTGTTCCATGTCTTGCTACATGGATTTAATATCCGGATCAATGAGTTAGGCTATAAATTTTATCGGAAAACTAATTACTTTAAATCAAGTTTCGAAACAGTGTCTCAGCTTTGACACATGTAATAATGATCTGAACTGGCGAATGCTGTTGATACTTATGTTGAAAGAGTATTTATTACATTACATACCAAAAACCTTCAGTTCTCAAACATTACAACACTGAGCTTGTAGTGAATCTTCCATGTCTAGATCACTTGACTTGTTCCCCTTGTCTTTTGACCTTGTCAATCATTCATCGCTTCCGTTCATGTGTGTGCATGCCTGTCTCGCTTGCTACAAGTCTGTCTTCATTTTGTCTGACTATAAAATCTTAGTCATGCTTTGTCTCTTGGAGTTGGCTCACTAACCTTCTCTACTTCGCTTCATCCATTCATTCCCAAGTTCACTCGCTTGCTTGCTTTCCTGCGCTCGCATGACGATTTTATCTTTGTGTGCCTGTAGTCTGCTGATCCATTTTGTGGTGTGCCAAAGTAAACGTAGTCAACACTTCGAGTTCACCTTCTGATTTATAAACCGTCAGGCACTATTTAGTAACGATTGTCTGAACGAAGCCTAAGAACACGTTGGATATCAACCGTCGCGAAACTAGTGATACATTGGCCACCAAAAGCTGACATCCTGCGGTTGAATTCTACCACTCACAATTTCAGATGTGAGTCGTGAGAAATAAGCTTAAATGCAGGTCTCTAGTGAGCTAATAATCATACTGTTTTTAAGAAATTTTGTGAAGATTAGTTTGTCATATTACGAATAATTTGAAGTCGGAAATATCGGTCATGAAATCTCAATCCAGTGGTCCGAAGAACGTGTTTCCATTTACAACTAGGCAATGGATAGTTAGTGCTGTAGATAACTATACTGAAGAAAATTAAATGCTTTCAGTACTTTCTGATTATTACTAGTACCGTAAATGATGTCGATCTGTGACTTAGACCACCGACAAATCATCATAATCTTAACAAATCCAGTTTATTCAGGAAACTATTATACTCATTTATTCTGTTTACGTTCAATGTAACTCACAAGGTTGATCGATAACATTCTAATCTTACGAGGTTCTAAGCTTAGTTAGAATATTATGACAAGAATACTTATACATTAGTTTAGTAAATTTTATGAAGATATCAAAGTATACACACTATTTAGATTTCATTCCAAGCTTTTATCCAAATGTATATTCAATAGACTTTGTTAGTAAAGATGGATTATGACTAGCGCGCTTTACCCCGTTTGGAACTAATCAGATAACAGTACCTACATCTCTGAGTTGATGCCTACTCTAAGACTCGAATTTGGAGATAAATAGACTTGATGTTCTCATTCAGTCACATGTATCATTTATTTTACTAATGAATTCAAATGGAACTCCTCCTGGAGACATTCTAGGCTTACTGCCGGTCTCAAAACCAGAATTTAGGAGGAGGGTTGGGCATAGGCTTAGCAACCTCATCCTGTAGAAATCCAACTCGCTGCAAAAAAACGCTAACCAGAAAAATAATTTACTAGTCGGTGAACTATGGCCGATTAGGAGGGGTAAGGGGCATAAGTAAGTAAGTAAAAATCTAAATGGACAGTTACTTGTGTAACAAGTATACATTCTAATGCAATTTGTAATGGTTTGGTAGGCACATGATTTGTACAATAACTTGTCCAATAGCAATAACTTTGTAAACGAACATTACAGAGTTCAAGTCCCAGAATAAACATCAACTCCTAGATATATAGGTACATTCACCAATAATGACCAGTACTAAATAAGACAAAGCGAGCATTCTGGATTCCTCCACTCTTAATCATCATTTATTGTTATCTAAAAGAAGTTTTCTGATTGAATGTGTTCATTTCGAAACAATTCCCACAAGATGTACACACATCACCAAACGAGACCTAATCCAAATATTCAATACAATAAATCAAAAGTTATTTTTTAAAAAGTTTCCACTATTACACTTACATCATCATTATCATCCATCATCATTGTACAAATTGAAAATTGAATAAAAAAAATTTTTAAGTAAGAGAAAAAAAAACCAAACTGAAACTCACTATCACATGCTTCGTCTAAATCGACTTTGAAAAAAGATAATTTTTCTGCATCCACTGCACATGTATGAAATTGAGCTCTAAAATCAAAAAAAAAAATCAAAAATCGATAATCAATAAAAGAAGAAAAGTGATTGACATTCAGATAATGTGCTTTTTTATGATTTTACATTAGCATATTATGGACATCGTTGTTTTTTTCCTCACGCATTGAAATCATGAATGAATGATTGTTAGTCAACCCTTCATTAGAAACAAACCAGGAAGCGCTGAGCGGCAGCCATTTTGTCCCTGGTATGGGACTGATCAGTGACCGTGCGCGTCCACGTCTCCCGCAACCCGGCGGGATTCAGACCCAGGACCTTCGATCTTGCGCGCGAACGCCTAACTGAGCCGTCTAACTTCAATTAAGTCGTGATACAGCACGAACACTATCCATTTTCTTTGGCGGGTAACTGCCTCACTCCCGACACAGTTGAACTCCACTAGTCATGGCTATTTATTAGAACTCTGAGCTAGTTACTGGTGAACACAATATTAATAATAGGTGTTAGTATATGGCTGTGTAGATTGTTGACTTTCATGGAATCCACGAACCAACATATGTCCGACCTGAAGGTCTTGGGTTCGATTTCCTTCAGGCAAAGTCATTGATAAACACTGTTGATCAGTCCAGTGCTTATTGGCTTTCAGTAATGATCTTCCATCGATCACTTCATGTTTTCAACTACTTAAGTATCCAAAAAAATAAGACTATTTTAACAAAACATTTCTTTTAAATGTTACATTTCCGACTTATTCAAACGTGAATTGATGCGATGACTCATTAATTTGACACTGAACATTGTCTCACTTGCTTGAAGATGTCTAATATTGATTATTGTCGATAACTATAACTATAGATAGGAGAACTGTAATATCTATTGATAAGATTATCATTCCATGTTTTTTTTTCTCTGAAAAAAACTCTGCTTCATTTGTTTAGAATGAAATGTACTTTTTATTCATAAAATCATTTCTGATGTTTACAATTATAAACTTATTACAGATTACTTATATCTATTTAAGTGACCCGAAGAAAACAAATCATCAAAAGGTTATCATATGTTGGAAAGTTTCGTTAAAGTCAGAAATGTTTTCAATTTGAAGCTTTTAAGATTGTGTCTACCCACTGGCATTAACAACTTCTGACTCCCGACCAAAGCTGCTACCTTGACGTGGTGATCAGGCTTGCCTATTGTGATGAACCAGCCGAGCTTTATTGGATGGAACATATGTTCCTGAGGGTGCCCACCAAGAGCTTTTAAGAGCAGCGCAAGTACTCAAAAAACCCTTCATAAAAAGGCCGTACGTGACCGGCCTGAAGCAGTTGTCCCTCGGGCTCTGTGGTCACGCTTGCAGGTCTCTTAAACCATCACTAATCTACCTTCTTTTTCAGGTTCCTCAAGACACAACCTTCCACGGTGTGGGAAGCCGGGAAGTGACAACCACCCTCATACCCGTAACAGCACGTGAGACCAAACTGGTCAAAATCGAATCCTTCCTACTTCTGAATAGAAAGATTTGAGTTATGAGTAATTCAAATTATAAATTAATTTATTAAAGAATAACCGGAAGAAATGCATCGGTCGATAATCGTCGATACACTCACTACTCAGCTCTTTATGATGTGCGGTGTCCCAAATCTGAATCTGACACATGTTAACGTCTCAAAACTGTCTACTTAAATGAGAAGGTAAGGTAAACAGGAAGTCTATTTGCCTACTAAATCCTACACATTATATACATGTGTATATATATATATATATATATATATATATATATATATACTTTACCCTCAGAAAATGAATTTATCTCTTGGCCAATGATCTTCTTCAGTCCTTCAGGATGTTAGTGTTTTTTAGCGAGTAGGTTTTCTACGGAATCTAGTTGCTAACCCCACACCTAACTCTCCTCCTTTATCCAGGTTTGAGACCAACAGTAGCCCTCTAGGTACTACACAGACAAATATCGAGACTATTTTGCTATATGGATTAGAAACTTGGAGAATCACATAAGCCATCAGCCAAGAGGCACAAGTGTTTATTGACAGTTCACTAGGCAGAATACTTCGGATTCGTTGGCCAAACACTATCAATGACACAATCTATTGTGGGAGAGAATAAACCAGGTTCCAGTGGGGAAGAAAGTCAGAAAGAAGCGCTGGAAGTGGACAGGACACAATACGGATAGCACCCAAATGTGTCACGAGACAAGTCCTCACTTGAAGTTCCTAAGACCAAAGAACACATTATACCGAAAAATGGAGAGAGACATGAGAAAAATGAACAAAAATTGGACAGAACTAGAAAGCAAGATCCAGGACAGAGTGGGTTGGAGATTGCTGGACGGCAACCTATGCTCTGCTAGGTGTAACTGGCGAAAGTAAGCAATCAAATCCAACATAAATATATCATATTTTAATTTTTTTCTAAAAATAATCAAATATTTCACATAGTAAATTGATAAATTAGCAAACCTATTCATTGACAATCTAATCAACTTACAGAACTCGTGTAGTATGCATTAAATTGAGATTTTGATAAATTTTTAAAAAAAGACCACATTCACTATCCACAAAAGTTTGTAAATATTTAAATGTAGATGATGATAATTCAGCCTTAGTCATCATTGGTGATTGATCCGATTGATGTGATTTAATCATAGTTGGTTGAAATAAATTCATTGGATTTCCAGTGGAAAATATTTGATCCCATCTTCTCATATGATCAATCTCATCCTCCTCTTCTTCATCATCATCTTCGTGATAACCAACATAATCATGTCGTTTGTTTTTCCCACTGAACAATAAATTATTATTTTGATTCAATGGTATCAATGTTTCTTGCAGCACAGTTTGACCAGCAGTACCATGTACATGTTGTAGTCTACTGGTTAACAGATCATCTGGTTGAGCGTACAATGAATTCTCATTGTTAATTTCATGTATTGCTTCAAGTGGTTGACCGAGATAACGACCTCTGGATGAATCACGATAAACTATGGCATGCAAATAGACTAAACGATCTTGTAATATTAAAGCACCAGTTAATAGACTGGAAAAATATCCAACATATCTGTGAAAAAAAATAAACCAAATGAAATAAAAATGTTTTCATGACTGATTGTTTCATAAGAAAAAATTCAATGAACGATCTCCATCATACTGTAATGGAAAATCCAAAAATGTGCTCACTATTGAAGAAATTCTTGAAGTTCTAGTGAGAAGACGTTTGTGAAGCAGTTATCCACTGAAGACAGTGAAGGAAATTGTGCAAGACTGAGGATTATTCAAAGTTAGACATTAACATCGTTAGATTCTGGGCCAGAGGTCTAGAAGTTAGGCGTTGAAGTCGAAGTTCCTGGGTTCGAATCCTCCTAGTAGCAGGGTCGTGGATGAGCACTGCTACTAGTGCGTCCCATACAAGGACGAGATGGCCGTCATTCAGTGCTTCATTGTGTCTAATGGTAATCTGACAATGATTCATTCATGATCTCAGTGCTAAAAAAAGTTTGTTTAAAGCATGATAAAATGAATTGATTTGTGATATAGGTGAAACTGAACAATCTCCCTCAGTTTTATATTGATAGTTTAGTGATTTTAGAATTTAATCCTGTTTCACTCGTCTGTAGGTATGCTTAAAACTATTACAGGTCCAGCTTAGTCGAATAACGAGAACGAGACAATGAACCAGCCTCCAGGTAGGCTACTCTGATCCTTTGACCCACATGTACTAGCAAGAAGTCTTGATATAGTGTAGAAAGTGTTTTCTACAAATACCCAGCTAGCACAAAAATCGCGTTTATTTATACTCCATAGAGACTTCCTTAAGAGGGTGACAAAATAGCACACTTAAATAACACAGTAACCAATCACAGCCAAGAATTTTCCTGGTGGGAAATGTGATCTGAAGGTCCGCTGATCGGTTCATGAATAAAATCCAAAATTAAAACATTTATCAAGCGAGTTCTGAGGATCTAACATCCCCAACACTATTATTACACGAACTTGGATATTTACACAACCTATTCATTGAAATTGGTTGGATGTTAGTATAGGTGGATAATGCGCTATCAGTTGAATCTACAACAATCGTTTCATTAATCAGTTGAATATGCTTATGCATAAAAAGTACTATCCTCTCCAGGACTCGAACTCACTACCGTCCTCTCCAACTGTCATTAATGAGTCAATCAAATAACAGTCAAGACTGGTTTCACTTATCATTCACATTTTCGGTGCTCAATAATCCTACTGTTGAAGATTCCTTTATCAAGAGAAAATGTATTTCATACTACTTTGATGAACATTCTTTTACTGCTTTTGAAATAGATTGATGCTACCTCTCCAGGAGGCAAAAGTAAATTTTATTCGTGTGCAATTCAACTGTCGAAATTATTGTAAATTTCCATTACCACAACCACAACTGGAGTGGATGCTACTCACAAACTGGCCTATAAGTAGTATGCTGCACTGAGTCACTCAGAAGTCTAAAGATTATATATATATATATATATATATATATATATATATATATATATATATATATATATATATATATATATAGATTGTAAATAAACTGTTTCATCTTCAAAAACGTATCTGTTTTCATTAGGTTTTCCCTTCTCTGTATATTATACTACTACTACTACTCACACAACGATTACCAGTAGTCATGTTAGTAGTGATAACAACAATCATACATAACTAACTAATCATTTAAACTTCATTGTTAGTTAAGTAAACATTCAGCCTTTAGCTTTTTTTTTAGCAAATATTTGCATAGCCTAAATGAACTAAACCTTTTTTGTTTAACATAAAAGTTACAATGTGTTTCGTCTTTATTTTTATCAGCTGACTTGTGTTTGTTGATTGAACTGACAGAGAAAAAAAAGGACTTATTTTTATTATTATAACCAGGTCGCGCAAAATCCCCAGATTGATAAGAATTAGACATTAATGCTGATGGATGCCAGCGGGCTCAGTGTCCTAGGGGTTAGGCGTTCGCGCATATAGGGCCAAAGGTCTTGGGTTCGAGTCCTGCGAGTTGCAAGAGTCGTGGATGCCCACTGTCACTGATGAGTCTCATATAAGGACGAGACGGCCGTCCAGTGCTTTCATTCTTCACTATTCGATAGTGAAAATGATCATGTAATCATTAGTGATTAGCTTCTAGAAGGAATTCTTGGAGTTTTAACAAGAAGTCGTGACTGCTGGGGTTCAGCCACGTTGAGTGTGGGCAGTTACCCACATGGATATGCATGGCTGATGACTCTCATACTAGGATGCGACGGCCATCTTTCAGTGCTTTCAGATTTCTAATGCGATGGTCTAAGAATGATTGATTCATGATTTCAGCAATAAACAAATATTTCGCTAACTGAATATTGAAAAATATAATTTGGTGACAATCAAGTTAAATATTGCTTTATTCAAAAGATAAGATTTATTCCGATCTATTACTCACATTGTTCAATGACTTTAATTATCAGCTGTTTTTTATTTTATTATCATTAGATTCCTGGAAGCACTGAATGACGGCCGTTTCGTTCTTGTATGGGATTCATCTGAAGTGAGCATCCACGACCTCTTCATGCAGGAGTCATACCCAGGATCTTCGATCCCTAACACTGGCCTATTCCTGATGTAAGTGAAATTTAGGAATCTCTAATACTCTATAGTGAAAATTATCGAGATGGAATTTTCAGTTAGAAGCCGTGACTATTGGGATTCAACGTTGTCGAGTGTAGGCAGTTACCTAAAGAATACAATGGATTGTAGTCATTCAGTATCGTGTAATGATTAAGGTTAGACACTAACACTACTGGATACCAATTCAGTTGTTCATGCGCGTGACCTAAGGCCCATGACTCGATTCCCTGGTGAGGGATCGTGGATGCGCACTTCGAGTGGATCCTGCCAAGGAAAAGGCCATCCATTGCCTCCAGGTTGTGAACGGTGGTCTAACACTGATCAATTTATGGTTTCAATGAGATTATTTTAAAAATGATTACGTTCACATCTAACAGCTGGAGGCATTTCCAACTCCAACCAATTCGCAGTTGCCCAACCATCAACTCTATCTAACTTATTTATTAGTAAACACAAGATAGATTACTTATCAAAATGGAATGAGTTGTACATTTTGTAAGGATGCAAGTTCACATTAAGAATAATTTATGTGATTGTTAACATTGTTCAAGTGGTCTGCCTCATTTCTCAAGGTCACCCCATGATTACATCATTGGATGATGTATCCTGTTGTTCAATGATAACGAACGAACGAACAGAAACTACCATAGTTTGAATTTATCTCACAGTAATTCAATGTTTCAATATCTCAAAATCTATGAATTGGAAATGTTATTGTTGAAGTGCAAACAAATAATGATTTTTGAATGATTCAACTATGCAAATAAAATTTCTAACGAATATTTTTTTTCATCAGACACTTGATAAAAAACCCCCCCAAATAGTATTAGTAGTAGTAGTAGTAGTAGTAGAGTTTGTCTTGAAATTCGAATTGTAAGACGTTTACAGCTTTGAATGTACTACCTCACGCACAAGCACACACACCCACACACGTGCATACGTACATTGAGTGAGTGTGTGTGTGTGGTCTCGTGTAATCAGCAAATTCTCACGCGATATGTACACATGAATCTGTGTTAAAACAGATCATACTGTTTAAAGGTTAATTTCTCATTGAAAACTTTTGAAAGTCCATTATCAAGATCCAGTTTCATATTAGATCTTCGAAAGACTATGATGTGTTAGCGGCGCTAGTCGACCCCGGGGCAAACATTCCATAATCTTCTCATGTAAAAACTATAAGTATGGTAATGTTTTGGACTGCTCTGACTTCCATCTAACCTTGTTATTGGAATATAATCTCTATTTCCTCCTGTTTAACCGTGTTCTGATTTTGGGGAGATCGTCTCGAATGGATTGGTGTCCGAGAATACCAAACATTAGGAATAGTCAGGTTGTAGGAAAGAGAACTATAAGATTCTATGCCTTATAACGATTCCCATTATAAGATCATATAGATCGTTTAGTTTCAAAGAAATCATGAATCAGTCAATGTCAGAGCATCACCACTGGACATCTAGAAGCAATGGACAGCCGTTTTTTCTAGTTTGAGATTCCTCAGAGGTAGTGTGCACTTACAATCCCATACATACGGGGATCGAACCCAGGACCTTCAGTCTAACAAGCAAATACTGAACATCCAAACCAGTGAGCTAACTAACCTCCGCCAGTGTCGTGTTTAACTTCAACTAATCCGAAATACTGCTCGATGTCATCCATTCTCTTCGGTAGAGAACGTCCTCATAACTAACTCTTCAAAACTCCATCGGTCACAGCTTCTCACCAGAACTACAAGGATTCCTATGCGAAGTTAGTTACTAGTTCATGCATGATAACTGCCATCGTTCGTCATGAAATTTTATTCACCATAATTAAAAATACAAAAATAAAATACGATTTTTTTACCTTTTCTGTGAAGGATTTAATTCACGAGCTAAATTATCTTCATAGAATTTTTTCAAAATTGTATGTCCCATGACAAGTTCATGTTTAAATCTATAAAGATAAGAAAAATTTTTTTTCGTTAAAAACAAAGAAATCTTTTAAAAAAAATTACAAAAAATGTATGTACAGTAATGTAGACAACGTGTAAATTAATGATAACAGCTGGTCACATTTATATCATCGATAGAATTCATTCAACGTGAAGTCACAGATAGAAATTTTTTTCACGATAACTGTTTACCAATCAATCACTGTAATGCTATCCTTATCTAAATACTCTAGATTTAGAATGGTAGTCTAGCTTAAATTTCAACAATGGAAATAATCCAGTCTCCATAATCCTCTCTTAGGAGGTGCAGAAAGGATTTGATTGTGACCGATTTGGTCTCGTGTGCTTCCATGGTGATGAGGGTGGATGTACCCTCCCGGCTACCTACACCGTGAAAGGGCTCTGTCTGGCAGAAGGTCTGTCAGCCTCGTGACTTCCGAAGGAACTAGGATTTTATCATGAGACATAATAAATCTTCTAAATGAAGACCTTCTAACTCTCAGAACAGAGTTTGAATAGTTCGAATTATTTTTACTGGTTAGCTTTTTTTGCCGGACGGGCTAGCCAACCCCATGCCCAACCCTCCTCCTTTATCCGGGCTTGGGACTGACAGTAGCCCCAAAGGGTCTACAGGCGGACCTTGAATGTCCTCATATTCACACTGATTACTTCTGTTTTATGCTTAAAAGTTATCATCAATGAAGTTTTGTGTTGTTGAATGACTGACTGACCATAAATTCCCTTCCTGAATAAGAACAGATATGCGTACACTAATGACTAGCCTCATAATATATTCCTGGAGCTATAGGTGGGAATTCATAACCCACGGAGTGCAAACTGTGTCGGGTAGGAGATTGTTAGCTGCAGCAGGCAATGAATGAAGAATGTGCATCATCATGGACTGATTGAAATCAGACATTAACCTTATCGGATGCTGGCTCAGTGGTCTTAAGGTTAAGTGTTAGCGCACGAGACACAAGGTCCAGGGTTCGATTCATGCAGACGGGAGTCGTGGATACGCATTGCTGATTAGTCTCATACCTGTTATTCAATGCTTCCAAGCCTCTTATGATGGTCTAGCTATGATTAGTTCAGTTATTCTGAAAATATTCAATCTCAGTTCAAATCATCCTCTTTGAGTTTCTTGTACCGTTAACGAAATTAAAAAGAATATTGATTTTGAGTCAAATAATTCTTCATTATGTTGAATCTTTTTAAAAATTATACAATTAATTCACTTCATCTCCAGGGATTGAATATTGAATATTGAAAACTCTCTCATATTGAATGAATCAAAATTCAACCTATGCAGTGATTGTTTTGTGCTAAAAATATTTAATTACAGGTCTTTATCAATTTGTATGTAATATTGTCCAATATTTAAATCACTTCAAATATGGTTGAATTTCAAAAATTAAGTTTAAAGTTTTAAGTAATGTTTGAAGAAAAGATTTGTGAATATGTAGTCCGATTGATATATTTAAATTCTATATCTACAAAATAAAATTTAGAACCGATGATTACTTGGAAAAATGAACATCAAATAATTGTTGTAAACGTGTTTAGGGAAAATGATAGTCAGTCAGTCAGTCAGTTGCAACGTAGAACTTCGTACGTATGTACATAAGTTCATGTTGCCATACCACATTATTAGCACAGAGACGCAAATGTCAAATCAAATCCCATAGTGATAGAGATAGTAGAGGTAGTAATAGTAATGAAGAAGAATAGGGTTTGAAGATATCATTCAAGAAGTATAATTCAATGAGATATGGTTAGAAAAACAAAGGTAGAGGTGCTGACGAATCCAGAAGATTAGGATTTGAGAGAGCTCAACAAATGGATGCACTTGAGCCATTGCAAACGATTTTGAGCCATGTCGTTCAAGGTCTCTAACCATTGGTGACTTTCGTCTCACGGACCATAACCACGTAGCCTACATCTAACAACATGACTCAGTTCACTTGTCAGTGACTTCATAGATTTCTGCCATGTTTCGGTCTGGCCGCTCCTAACTTTCTTCCAGCCTACTCTTACACCACATAACATAGCTCGTCGAGGCAGTCGGTGGTCAGGCATACGTCACACATGTCCCAACCACCTCAAGTGATGAAGTTTCACCACTTCATCTATTGATCTGCCATTCTTACCTAGTACTCGTTTCATAACGACAGTATTGCTTACTCGGTTGTCCTACGATATACGAGCAATGCTTCTAATACTAGCAACCTACGAACGTCTACTCCTAACGGCCATATTCCGCATCCATATAGGAGAACGGAGTGAACTGCTGCGCATCACACCCGTCCTTTGGTTAGCGAGCGGATATCTCGCCTACGCTATAAGCGGCGTAAATTCACAAAAGCAAATCGAGCTTTCTGTATCCGAGTTAAGATTTCGTCAGTCACCAGGCTATCAGCACTGATGAGATTCTCAAGATAAGTGAAGTTATCAACACACTCGACTACTTCACTCCCTATCAATAGGAAAATGATAACTATTTGTCAATCTATCAGTTCGCTTCTCACTGACACTGAGTCGTAGAAATTCTCTTAATGTTACACTAAGTTGATTACTTAGTTGTACAAGTATGGACAGGATGACATTATGAAGGCTTCTTCGACACCATGGTTTAGTTGAGAAGATAGTCAATATCATACAGAATTCTTGTCATAGACTACTCTGTAAAATCGTATATGAAGAGCAGCTCATAGATTCGCTTCGAAAGAAAACCGGTGTCATGTAGATTTTATAATTCTCACCCTTTCTCTTTCACCTGGTGGTCAACTGAATTATGAAAAAGTTAACATTTGGGGTGAGGCCAGGAATTCACCGGACATCTTAAACGCAGCTGAATGATTTGGACTGTAAATATGACCTAGCTCTTCTATCCCACCTACAAACAGCAATAAGTGCAGATGAGGATGGCCAGTTCGTCAACATTCTCTACAACAGTGGGTCTCAATATACACAAGGGAAACAGAAAGATCCTTCAGTTTGATACAACATGCATCAACAAAATAAAATTTGAGGGCGAAGCTTTGGAAGATGTGAGAACCTTCACATATCGTGGCGGCATCATTGATGAGTACGGCAGATTTGATGCAGATGTGTAGGCAGGGATAGGCAAAGCAAGGGTAGCACTTATGCGAATGTAGAACAACCGTAACTGAAAACAACCATTAACCAAAACCAAAGTAAGAATTTTCAATACAAACGTAAAACACTCCTATTTAATGGACTGGGGACCTGGACAATTAAGAAAGCCATCGTCCGGAAGATACAGATGTTTATCAACATAATACTTTACATCCGTTAGCCGGATACCATGGCACTAACTTATTTTGGTAACGAACAAATCAGACTGCAGTTGAGGAAGAAATTAGGGAAAAAGGCTGAAAGTGGATAGGACACACATTGCGGAAAGCACCCAGCTTCATTACAAGACAAGCCGTCACTTGGAACCCTCAGTGTCAAGGGAAAAGAGGTTGGCTAAAAGACACAATACCCTGACAAACATGTAAAGAATGAACAGCAATCGGGTAGAGCTGGAAAAGAAGGTCCGTGACAGAGTAGGTTGGAGAAAACTGGTCGGTGGTCTATACTCGATCATGGTTAACAGGTTTAAGTTAGTAGGTTACTCATGCACTTACAAATCAAATCCAAATATTCATACCATTAGCAAACTATGTACAAACATCAGAAGTGGATATTATGTATCAAAACAGAATGACATATTCATCAAAATCTACCTTCTTAGTCGATTCTCATTCCATTGTAAACCACGTGCAGTTGGTGATCCAGGTCGTTGTCCGTACAACGGACCAAATCTCGCTTTCGACTGACATATATAAACAGCCAGATATGTAGCTAATAGACATTTTGGTCCAGTACAATGTAAAACAGCGACACGATTATTCAAATCATAATTTTCTTTTGATCTATGCAAATCGTTTGTTGTAGTTGTTGCTGTTGTTGATGGCATATCATGATTATGTAACCAAAAATCAAGCTGATCAATTGCTGTGACTAATTGTTCTAAAGCTGGAGCAAGTGTTCCTGCCCAAAACAGATCAATTACAGGTGTCTAAAAGAATAAAAATTATGCTAAAAATTAGGTTAATTTGCTTGAATTTCGTTGAAATTATCAACTGATCAATGTTAGATAGTCACCGTTAGACACCAGGAGGCATTGCACAGCTGTTTCGTCCTAGACTGTGACTCATCAACAGTGAACATCCACAACTAGACACATACGGTAGTCAAACCCAAGATTTTCAGTCCCACAGTTGAACTCTTAACATCTAAACCACTCAGCTACCTTCCGATCCAAGATACTGCGCCACCTCATCCATTGTTTTTGGTGGGTGGTGGTCATAATATATCTGAGTCTTACACCAGAACGAAACAGTCGTCTATTACTTGTAAGTTTACAGTGGTGGTCTTACACTGATCGGTTTAGGGGTTCAGTGAAACTCAATACTCTCCACAACCCCATACACTGATAATTATTTGTTGAAAAGAGCGTAAATGTAAGTCAATAGACATTAGATTTAATTCTGTTTGAGAAATTTTTCGTTTGATCTAGTTTTTGAACATCAGCTTTGGAATGCACGTTCATCTAGATATGCGCGAGTCCTAATTGAGATGAAATGCTAGTCTAAGATTATACTGTTAACTATGTTTCATCTGTTTTCTACAAAGCAATCTGCACAAGATGCCCAACTACCAACCAAGACTGTCACATGGTACATGTGTCAGGGAAGTAATTGTAGCTTTGAAATCGACTTATCTGTATGAAACAGAAATATTCATCATCAAGCTTCACAAAACACGTTTTACAGCCAAGTTATTAAGGGTGTAATTGATTTCCTATGGGCATTGACAACAACCTACAGTGTCAGAGAACAAACAAGCTTTCAAATGAAGATAAGATTAGGAAAAACGCTTGGCGTGGGTAGGACATATATTGCGGAGATCAATGAACTACTCTACAAGACAATCCGTTATTTGAAATCCTCAAAGCCGATGGTAGACAGAAAAAATGCTGAAACTCAAAGATCTACGAAAGCCATCATCCAAAAGATATGGGTATTTATTAACATTTGTCTATGCAACATACGCTGGATCCGTTAGTCAGACATTATCAGCAACAATAGTCTGTGGGAGAGAGCAAATCAAATTCTAGCTAAAGAGGAAATCGGTATAAAGATCTGGAGATGTATAGGACACACATTGCCGTAATTTGGAACCCTCAAGATCATGGGAAAAGAGGAAGGCCAAAGAACACATTTCACCGACAATTGGAGACAAACATGAAGAGAATGAATAACAGGTGGGAACAACCTAAAATGAAAGCCTAAGATAGAGTCGGTTGATTGGCGAATGCTGGTTGGCAGCTTCACGTTCCATTAGGGGTAACAGGTGTAATTAGATTCACAAACTCGAAATCCCACATTCATTTGTGTAAAAATATCATCAAATCACTCGGACTAGTTTCGATTTTCTGCTTTTTTATGCATAGAATTCAATCTACATTAAAGATTATTACAAGGTGATCAATAAATTCGGAAATGAAATCTTAAAAAGAATAAAAACTGCTTTAATTTATCAAACAAACTATGCACATACACACTGCCACACACACACATATTGGAACATTCAATGATCAATTATTTTAATTGTAAATTCAAAAACAAAACAAAAACATATTTGTTTAAAATTATAATTATTCAATAAAACTTACTCGACTTGAAAAATGTAATTCTTTAGTGAAACCAGACAAATTGAATATCTGTTATAAGTGTTCGTAGAGGGAGAGAGAGAAAGAGACAGAGAGAAAACATAGAACTAACTGATTATTTTTCAATCAAACAAATGACTGTTATTAATTTACAAATGAATATCACAAATATGCGATCAAAGATTATGTGGAGAATGTGTCTGAAATGGTTTCAAAATCAGTCATTGTCAAATGACCGGACACATGTGGGAAATAGGAAAACACATCATCGAAACAGAGCATAGGATTGACATCAATACAACCTTTAGGTTATTGTATAGAAATGTACAAGAACGGATTCTGAGGTGAATGGACGCATTACAAGGTTGTGGAGATATTGGTGACGTTAGATCCTCAGAACTCGCTTGATAAATATCTTAATTTTGGATTTTATTCATGGGCTGACCAACTGACCTTGAGATTACATTTCCCACCAGGAAAGTCCCTGACTGTGATTGGTTAATGTTTTACTTTAGTATGCTAATTTTGTGACTCTCTCAAAGACGTTTCTATGGTGTATAAATAAACGCGGTTTGTTTGCTTGAATTGATTGTGTTTGCTGGGTATTTGTAGAATACACTTTCTACTCTATATCAAGACTTCTGTTTTGCAGTTTTGGGATCAAGGTAGCTCCCTTAGGACATTTCCCAGAGTTCTAGTAAGAAGTCGTGACCAGTGGAGTTCAACTCTGTTCTGGTGTGAAGCAGTTCTCACCGAAGACAGTGGATGCGGTTGCGTAAGACTGTGAGTTGACTGAAGTTAGACATTAACACAATTGGATGCCGGCTTAGTAGTCCAAAGGTTAAGTTCTCATGTATTAGACAGCAGGTCCTTGGTTCAAATCCTGAGAGTAGCAGCAAGAGTTTTGAATGCGCACTGTTGATGAGTCCGATACTTAGGACAAAAAACAGTTTCTAATGGAAGTCTTACATTGATTTAAACTTGATTTCAAAGTTAATAGATGTGTTGGCTATTCGTAAATTAGAAACTACATTTGCGTGACAGAAATAATTTATTATAAACTTGAATTTCTAGCCTAAAGTAATTTGACAATTTCTTATTCTTTCTATAAATATGTTAACTTTCTCTCTGCCCTTTATTTACAATTATGACCTTATATTTATCTGAACTTATACGTTTATCTGATTTTCATATACAATGCTTCGACAAGTAGATTTGTATGTAACCAGATTGTAAATTCATGATAACTTTTTCCAGATCATCTGTATGTCTTCGCATTGTTCTGCTTCAAAACAGAAAATAAAAATGACAACTGATCGTAACATAAGTATTGAGGGAGCGTGATTTTACACCAGTGACGAATTATAACTTGGACAAGTAGGGAAAACCTACAAAGCCTTTATTGCCGTGTACCTTCTATTGATTTGAGTAGCGTTAATTATTGTTCATAATGTTTCCTATTTCGATAATCAGAGTATTGACTGAAACTGATCTGATCAGCAAGTGCTAAATATCACTGTAGGTCGGTCAGCACCGATTGTTAATAATTAGCCATTTGAATGATCAGTCACTGATGACCTGTTTGGCGCTTGAAGTGATGAGTAGTAAGTATGTTCAAGTTTTGACATAAATATCAATATTAAGAAATAGTTAAATATTCAGTTGATGGCTTGTTTAAATGAAATAAGATATATGTGTCATGGACTTCACTACTGATCATATATGAAATGATTTTTCATGATAGAGTTATGAAGATTGTTATTTGTTATTGAAATCATAAATGAATCATTGTTAGACCATATCATTAAGAAGCACTGGATGGCCGTTTTGTCCCACGTTTGGGAATTCATAGGAGCTTTGCGCATCCACGACTACTGCACTCGAACAGAGGACCTTTGGTCTCACGCGCGAATCGGCATCCAACGGTGTTAATGTCTAACTTTGATCAATCTAAGAATTTTGTACAACCTCACTTATTGTCTTCGGCAGTTAGTGTTAGAATATTCATCCAATATCCTAACATAATTGTTTGTAGTTCTAATTCGATTGGTCGTCCTAACTATCAATGTCACAAATTTCAATGTTGGTTCCTATTCGACCTAACTGTTTAAATACGCATTATCTGTAACGTTTCATGACGCGGCTCCCCTAGTCCGGGATCCTCATCCTCTTCTGAGCTCAGAACTCGTAATTTCTGGATGTTAAAGTGAAATATGTGTCATGAACTTCACTACTAATCATATATGAAATGATCTTTTCATGATAGAGTTATGAAGGTTGCTGTTTATTAGTGAAAGCATGAATCAATCATTGTCAGTACATCATCATTAGACACCTGGAAGCACTGGATGGCTGTTTAGTCCTAAGTATGGAACTCACCAGTGACAATGAGCATTTACGTTTCCCGCTACTGGCAGGAATTAAAACCGAAGACCTTCGATCTTGTACGCGAATGCTTAACGTCTATACCACTGAGCTGGCATCCAACAGTGGTTATGTCATATTCTGATCGATCTAAGGAATTTTTGCGCGAACTCATCCATTATCTTCAATAGTTACTGCATACACTCAACAAGGGGTTGAAATCCATTCGTCAGGCCCTTTTTGTATTATTTTATAGTTTTTAATGTCGACTGGGTAGCTAATTGAAGATGACATGTATTGCTAGTGTATTCACTTTCTTTATTTGTAATACAATCCAATCAGTAGAAAAGTTGGTCAAAGATTATAAAATGCAGAGTAACAATGCAAAAACATTTTTTTAGAACAATCAATTAATCGAAAAACAGTTTGACCGACTCATTGTCATATCACATCGGTAAAATGTGAATATTATTTGAGATGATTATGTATTTGTGAGTGTGGTAATAGGTGAGGAAATTGGGTAAAGATTAGCTTTGTGAGGAAATACTTAAAGTTCTTGGGAGAAGATATGAAAGGTGGAGTTCAGCCGCATTGGATGTAAGCAGCTAGTTATCTACCGTAAATAATGGATGAGGTTGGTGTTACGCCTGCACGTAAACACGTCAACTCGATGTGCTTGAAATATTACGAGTTTACCTAGTCGGAAAACGAGAGCGATGATCGAGGATCCGGCGACACGACATGCTACTCTAATCCGATTATCTCAACCCACTAATTGAGTCAAAAATAAGACAAGACTTGATATGAAGTAGAACCTGCATTCTACAAACAGCCAGAAAGTACGAGGTCCGAATCCAGGAGAGAATAAGGATCCCGGACTAGGGATCCGGGACCGGGTCCTGGTCCTGGTCATAAAACATTACAGATAATGCGTATTTATACATTTTGGTTGAACAGGAAACAGTATCGAAGTCTGTGAGATTGACAGTTAAGACGACCAATAGGAAACAACATTTGAAGTGACAGTGAAAGTCAGGACAACCAATAATAAAGAACATTGGAGCACGTGATATTGCTATCTAGGACGACCATAAAACTGACCAGTCGGAATTAACCAATATGGATCGACCAATAATTCTCTTAGGTTATAGGATGAATATCCTAACATTTGGGCAACATCAGCGATTGATTAAAGTGACAGATTAACACTAATAGATACCGCCTCAGCGGCTTTGAGTGTTAAGCATTCGCGCTTGAAACCGAAGGTTTTCAGTCCGATTCCTGTAAGTAGTGGGAGTAGTGGATGAGCACTGCTGATGAGTCCCATACTAGGACGAAACGGCCGTCCGGTGCTTCCAAGTTTCTAATGGTAGTCTGACAATCATTGATTCATGATTGCAATGAAACGTCAGGCTGGGTAAGTCTTCCATGGATAAGAGTTTAAAAATCACTAGGATGGTACTGCTATTCCCAAAGTTGAATTTTCTATGTATAATAACAGTGAGAGATGTGGTAGGAAACAGATAGAGTAGGTTGGTTAGAGATAGTCAAGTCTTCTTCTGTACTGAGGACATCAGTCATTCAGCTTTCTGCATAGCTGACTCTTACTGTTTTCAAGCTATCTTGGAAATATTTCATAGTTTATTTCTTCATTGTGGTGTAACTCAGAGATCCTTTGCTTCGAATTCAGGTAAACGTGGTTGTAATAAATAAATGAATTCAAACTTGTAGTTTTCACAAGAAAAAATAAAACAAAAGAGTATCGATTCACAATATAAGTAGACAAGATTCACGAATCATGTCAAAATTCATTATGAATTATTATATTCAGCAAAAAATACGTT